TGTTGCAGGAATACCAGATAGGTGACCTTGAGATGCTGTCTACTAGGGAACAATCAGGTTAAAGGGGAAGGAGTCTGCAACTGCTTAAGGGCAAAGAAAGAAATATAAAAAGGATTTCCACTAATGTATCAGGCTGTTAAATGTGACGGCAGAAGATTTGTATTTTCAGACTTGCAAGGTTCTATTAATGTAGCTTGACAATAAAGTAGAATTGGTTCATCTGGTTGTGTTTCCTGTGTGTTTTACTTGGGAGGGCTGACAGGAAGGGAAGGAACTTTCAGAAGTAAATGGGAAAGAAAGGGAAATAAAATTAAAGAGTTGGCAGAAAGATAAAAGGGGAGAATCTCCTGTAACCTCTGGCTTCTGCTATGCTCCAACAGTTTACCTCCTGCCTTTAGCAGAAGCAAGGTTCCCTATTTCTGCCCTATCATTTTTTGGCTCGTAGCAATGATGTATAGCATAATCTCATGAATCAGAGAGCTATGAGAACAGTATTAGTTTATGGCTCCTTATCGTGTGTAAGAAACTTTTTGGGTGTCTCTCATCCTGAAGCAGGAAATGTATCAATGGGTACATTAAACATATCATCTACAATTCAGGTTTCTGTAAGGATGTGACTGAGTCATTCACTTCTAACTGCAACAGGAAGATTTCTGATTTCTCAGGACTCTTTTCTTTCATAACTTTGCCAAGGTTATGATTTCTAATTAATCCCTAGAAGCCATAGATAAAAATCGGTCTCTGTTTTAATGTTACCAGCCTAGGTTGATATATAGCTTCTTTTCCAATGGTAGACTTATACTGGGGAGATCAGTGAAACTCCCCAGAACCAGATTCAAACAAGAACTCTGAGCTTTTAAGCTTCTGTGCAATGTAAAAAAACGAAAACCAAAAATGATATCAGTATTGCTCCTATTGCTTGACTATCTGTTGAGCTTTGCATATCACTCCTGATGCCCAGCTTTTTTAAAAAAACTATTGTTGTAGTTCAAAGAGAGAAAATTTAAAATAAGTTGTCTGCTTGCTTTTGTTTGCCCTATAGAAGCACCACATTTTTTTTTTAAAAAAAGAGAACCTTTCCTCTCCCACAGACATTTCTCAGAGGTGAAGGAGAGGTATAGCAGACAGGATCCCCCATCGAGATGAGATATATAGAACAGGAGCTTGGAATTAACACATACAGACTGTAATTACAACTTCAGGCTGGTGACATCTCCAGAAGTGTATTTTTTTAAAAAACTAACTAAATTGAAGCTTACAGGACTTCAATTTCCCCCCCTGTGAGATGATTATAGGTGTTGTGAGAGATTGGTGGTGGCCAGATAGATATATAGATTTTTGGAAAACTTCCCTTCCCTTCCCTTCCCTTCCCTTCCCTTCCCTTCCCTTCCCTACCCTACCCTACCCTACCCTACCCTACCCTACCCTACCCTACCGTACCCCTTCCCTTCCCCACCCCTTCCCTTCCCCTTTTATTTACTTATACCTAGCATTGTTTACCCACACCTAGTCAATGATAGTCCACGATCATGAAAACTTTGCCATACAAAAATGGAAGAATATTTGCCAAGAAAACACCAGGCCAAGGTATATATGTGTGGACATTATGACAAAAAGAATGACTTTGACATCGAGAGGCCTGAGCTGGCTGGCAGGAATTTGAGCTATGGGAACCACTGAATGGAAAACTAAGGCCCCAGAATTCAGATCTGTATTAATATTTTCCACACTCAGACTTCCGGGTGCAATGGGATCTCGGACCATCTCTAGAATAATTTTCTTTCCAGTTACTGCTGTCCCTATTGCAGGCGAGGACATTAGTGCCGAGACGGGGAAAAATTTGATTTTAATGCAAGTCCCAGTAATCAGCTATTTGTGATAGAATTTTCTCTGTCCTGGTCTCCAAGGGATGAGAAGCAAGCAGAGAGGGAAGCAGGGTCAGAAATTAGTATGCAGAAATATCTGATCAGCCAAAGTAATTTTCTTTAATAATCGTATTCATACTGGCTGCTCTTCGCTCACTAGAAGAATTAAGTATTTAATAGTAATATATTTCATCTGGCAGCAGTTCCGTTTCGTTAGGAGCTGTGATGCCTCGTTGGGGTGGAGGGAGGGAGGAAGGGAGGGAGGGAGAATGGGTAGGTGGATGGCTGGAGAGGTGGGGTGAGGAAGAGAGAAACTGGAATGAGAAGATCTAACCTGAGAACAAAGCTGTTGTTAATAAGAGTAGAATATCTATCAGTGCACCAAATAGCCACAAAATCTATTTCTGACCAAATGGGGAAAGGTTTGTATTATTCTTTAACTGAAAATGTATCTGCTTGGTTCAGACTATCTGTATTAGCATCCTCCTTCTTAAAATTCTTGAAGATCTTTGGTTGAATATTTGAATATTTTAAAAATGGGTACTGGGATAATGATTAAAATGTACAGTTTTGACCTCTCAGTATGAAAATGCAGCTACTGGGTAATAGAAAAACTCAAGTTGAGCTTGATTTCATGGTCATGTCTATGCAATTTTCTTGGCAATAATCCTATAGAAGTGGTTCACCATCGCCTTCTTTCAGAATGTTTTTCCGACTCCCCAATCTAGCCTACAACCCAAGGATTTCTGTAGCCTCTAATGGATCCCACTGCGTAGTTTTTCAGAAACAGCCAAGCTGACCTGCCACCTAGCAGACTGCTGGGATTCAGAGAATGCATAAGTCATGGTTAATATTCCCCAAAACGTTTAGCATGCCATGCCATGGGAATGTGACATTCATTAGACTTATTGTTACCATGCTAGCCTCACAGAGTAGGCTTACCCAGGAAACTCCTAAGATATACGCACTGCAACATGTCAATGATGCATTAAATGCTAGTTTGATGTTTTGGTTGTTTCTGAGATTGCAAGAACATTTAAGGGAAAAGAACTTAACTGTAGCTATTTTCTCTTGGTAATTGTTGAAGGTCATAAACATCTCCCTGCTCAAAGCCTTCTTAAATTGAGCTTGACTCCTGGTGATTTCCTGGCCATGACTCCTTAAAGCAGTGTTTCTCAACCTTGGAAGCTTGAAGATGGGTGGACTTCAACTCCCAGAATCCCCCAGCCAGCACTGCTGGCTGGGGGATTCTGGGAGTTGAGGTCCATCCATCTTCAAGCTACCAAGGTTGAGAAGCACTGCCTTAAAGTGTTTGACAGGATTTTTCTAGGATGGCTTTTCAAATTCTCAATCAAGTTTATTACCCCAATATTCCAGGTCTCCCATTCAAATATAGGTAGTCCTCAACTTATAACAGTCCACTTAGTGACTATTCAAAGTTGCATCGGCACTGAAAAAAGCGACTTATGACCGCTTTTCACACTTACAGCCATTGCAGCATCCCTGTGATCATGTGATCAAAATTCAGGCGCTTGACTCATATTTATGACAGTTGCAATGTCCTGGGAATTATTTGATCCCCTTTTGCGACCATCACTTCTGACAAGCAAAGTCAATGGGGAAGCCAGATTCGCTTAACAATCATTTTACTAATTTAACAACTAGACCGGGATGCCCTCGCCATGGTCACTCATGCCCTCGTTACCTCTAGGTTGGACTACTGTAACACCCTCTACATGGGGCTGCCCTTGGGATGCGTCCAGAGGCTCCAGCTAGTCCAGAATGCAGCCGCGTGGGTAGTTACGGGGGCGTCTAGATACTCCCGTGTAACATCTCTCCTGCATGAGCTGCACTGGCTGCCGGTAGCACTCCGGATACATTTCAAGGTGCTGGTGCTCACCTATAAAGCCCTTCATGGCTTAGGCCCGGGGTACTTGCAGGACCATCTCCAGACTCTCTCCCACCGTCCTGTGCGCTCTCACAGAGTCGGCCTCCTCAGGGTGCCGTTGGCCAAACAATATCGGCTGACGGCCCCCAGGAGGAGAGCGTTCTCTGTGGGAGCCCTGACCCTCTGGAATGGATTGCCCACCGAGCTCAGGACAGCCCCCGACCTTCTTTCCTTCCGTCGCGAGCTGAAGACGTGGCTCTTTCGTCAATTCAACTGATCTGTTTGGGGGTACATTGTCATAATTTTAAACTATTTTTAATAGGGTCGCTGATTTTAATTTTATTTCATTGTGATTTGTGTTGGAATTTGTCATTTTGTAAGCCGCCTTGAGTCCCCAGGGAGAAAGGCGGCATATAAATCGCAATAATAAATAAATAATAAATAAACTACAGTGATTCGCTTAACAACTCTGGCAAGAAAGGCCATCAAATGGGGCAAAATTCACTTAACAAATGTCTTACTTAGCAACAGAAATTTTGGACTCAATTGTGGTTGTAAGTTGAGGACTACCTGTATTACCAGGCTAGGACCTCCCTTAACTTCCAAGCAAGCCCAGGTAAGGTCAGTCAGCTCCTATCATCTGCTGAGGCATGTACAGATATTTGGTCATCATTTTCAAATAAACCTATTTAATGAAGGCTTTGCAAATTGGTCAAAGGCATTTAACTTTTTTTTCTCCTGATATGGAATTCAATATAAAAATTTGCAACTTATGGAAAACAAAGGGGAGTACTTCATCATCAACAACAAAAATTGTGCATGATTTTGTACATGTAATTTTGATGAATGGTCCAGTGTTTAATCTGTATAATACAAATTAATCCTCATAAATGTACACTTTCAACTTCTACACTGTATTTTAGGTATTATATTCAGCCTGGAAAAATGAACAAAAAAAATTCAATGACCAGAGGACAGTAACAAAATGTTTGATTATTGGTATTAATATAAACATAATGCAGGACTTCTTTAGTTACAAAGCAGCAAACCCAATGGAAGAAATGCACTTTTTTAATGCATCTAACAAACATTCTGAGATTTTTGTTGTTTTATCTGAAGTGCGTCCACTGATGATTTCTTGAGAGATGTTTTTAGCGGCACTGAAATGTCAATTTTATAACAACAGCAACAAAATCATAAAAACAGCCACACCAACTGTCATGCTTTCCTGGTCTATTTTCTTCCAGGTGTGAGGGAATGAAAGGAATGGAGAACATCAGGCTGGTATTCGAGTTCTGCTTGGACACCAAGAATTGAAAATAAGTAGAAGAAATGTTTTACTCAGCTACCAGAATCTGTCTCTAGTATTTTACTAAATGATATGAGATTCAAGACTACTAAAATTCACTGCTACCATATAAGTAGAAAACACCAATGCAGTTTTAAAGAGTACTAGATCAGCCAACTACTAAACTTGATAGGTAAGTATGACTTATACAAACTATTTGAGCTTCAGTTTCAGTATCTGTCCTTCCAAAGAACATTCAGGGTTGATTTCTTTTAGGATCGACTGATTTCATCTCCTTGCAGTCTAAGGAACTCTCAGGAATCTTCCTCAGCACCACAATTCAAAAGCATCAACTCTTTGGCATTCAGTCTTCCTCATATGTCCAACTCTCATGGCCATGTATTACTACTGGGAAAACCATAGCTTTGATTATATGGACTTTTGTTGGCAAGGAGATGTTTCTGCTTTTTAATATGCTGTCTAGCTTTGCCATTAGCTTTCCTCCCAAGAAGCAAGCAAATTTCATGGTTGTAGTCACCATCTGCAGTGATTTTGGAGACCAAGAAAATAAGATCTGTCAGCATGATCTTAGTGTTTTTTAATGTTGAGTTTCAATATGTTGATATACAGGTAGTCTTCAGTTTATGACCACAACTGAGCCCAAAATTTCTGCTGCTAAGTGAGACATTTGTTAAGTGAGTTTTCTGCAACTGTTAAGTTGGTTACACAGTTGTTAAGTGAACCTGGCTTCTCCATTGACTTTGCTTGTCAGAAGGTCACAAAGGCGATTACGTGACCCTGGGATACTGCAACCGGTATAAATATGAGGCAGTTGCAAGCATCTGAATTTTGATCACGTGACCATGGGGATGCTGCAAAAGTCATAAGTATGAAAAACGATCATAAGTCCCTTTTTTTTTCAGTGCTGTTCTAATGGTCATTAATTGAACTGTTGTAAATCGAGGATTCCCTGTATTGTGTTATAAATGGGCTGCAGTAATCATAATAATTGCTTAAGGGCAGCAAAATGTTTTATGCATCTCATTGTTGCCAACTAGTGGTTATGTGAATTTTTATATCCCAGATGCTCCAGATACCCCAGATACAGTGTGTGAATGTTTTCAGACTTTGAATGTTGTAAGAATGGCTCTGGTGAGAGTTATTTGTCACTTTGAGTCATTGCAAATGCTTGTACAAGGTGTATCTGCAAACTGCTTGACTGGAGATGAGTGGAATAAAGATATAACTGAGTTGACTTTTGCAACCAATCAAGAAGGCATGTTCTTTTTTCCAGCTATCCTACATCTAGCTGAGCAATTGCTTCAGTTCTATTATCTGAGTTCACATTATATGTCTGGCCACTCTTACTCAAAACAAACCCTAACTGCCTGGCTGACTGGGTCCCCCCACCTATGACCCACTTAGACAAGTAATGCAATCACAAACATAGTGTAATAATTATATTCAGGATTGAAGACTTTGGCTAGAATGAAGACTGAATTGTGTACTGGCATAGGCTGAATAGCACACTATAAAGCAACTTGCTCTACTTCTGAGGATGCCAGCTGCACCTGCTAGCAAAGCATCAGGAAAACGAGTCCACGGTCTGCAGCCCAAAAGCTCATTTACTATTTGGGAGACCAAATTACTTTGTGCTTGGATTTAGACTACAAACCAAATGTGATTTAATATTTAAGTTTAATTTAAGTTTGTATTTAAGTTTATGATTTAGCCAAGATGCTTGCAGGGCATACTGAAGTACAAACTAATTGCCCATATTTTAGCCTAGTTTGTGGTATGAACCAAAGGCAACTGGGTTGTTTGAACCCCATGTTTAATGTTTTATGAGAAACCTAGTGTAACATGCAGGTTGAGTAAACTATGGTTTACGTTAGCCATGGGCAATACACTTGTGCGGCAGAGTAGTAAGTAGCAGGAAAACACTGCTTTTGTTGTTGGATGGGTAAACAAGACTCAGACTTCAGCCCTGCCTCAATCGTGTAGTTTAGAAGTGCTAAAAACCCTATTGTAAATTGGCAGATGTGTTAACCACTCATATTTATTTTGGAGTTTTTCACATCCCATTCTATTATTTTAATGACTTTTTTCTACTTTGAACAATTACGAAATGGATTTCCTAATTTCTCTCCTAGTTTTACAATTAGTACTCATTATATGAAGTGAGAATTTAATCCACTAGGAGCTAATAATTGTTTTTGAATTAATGTCTCTGAACTATGCATCTGCCCTAATTTCTCTGTGTTCATGCCCTAAGTCTTAATTTTGATGGAAAGTCCTTGATATTAATAACTCTTCATTTCAAAATTTCAAAGAAAAATAACCAATCAATGGTAGCATCATAAATATTTTGTTATGTAAATAGCTCTTATGCAAAAATGTTTTTTTTTTTTTTGCAAAGGAGGTCAAATTGCTTTCTGCCTGTCAGTGTTAAGTGTTGGGGGCAGTGAAGGGGGGCGGGATTCTTTCTCCAAAGCTGCTGTTTGCATTTCAAAGGAAACTGCCATTGGTGCCCATGGAGGCTACTCTTGAAATGCAAATAGGAGTGGGAAACTTTTTCAGGATTACAGTGGAAAGGGAAACATTGCAGTCTCCACCCTAACCACAGATACCTGAGTCTACCCATATTTTACTGTAGCTATAGATGCTATTGATCAAAGAATAATAATATGCATGCATATTTAATTGCATCTCCCCTGTTATTGTTATATCTAATTTCCCCCTGAGGTTTGCTGATAGATACTCAGAGATACTTTTTCATTTGATTTCTATCTCATCTCTCTGCTAAGATGTTCGGGATGACAATATGAGAAGCCTCATTTTTTCCCCTTCCTTATAGCAATTCCAATGAGGAAGTTAGACACAAGATCACCTGGTGAAATAGTCTGGCTGATACCATAACATTACTCTGCATTTGCAAGGATGTCAGATCATAGCCCATTCCAAAGCCTTGTTGGAAACATCTAGAGACCCTTCTAAAAAGGAAGAGAGAATATTTGTTTGTTATACAACTGATTACATTGATTTCTCTGTCTTTACACCAACCTTTTGTTTAAGGTAGTTAGAACTGTAGCTAATATGACCCACAAGGGTTTACCAACAAAGTAGGTTTACAGGTGAGATGACAACACTTAGTTTTCTGTTTAATGTAGAAAAATGCATCATTCTCTTTTATTTCTGATTTCTTCTTCACTTTCTCTTAGAAATTGCATCCTAGAATATTTGCAAGAGATTAGTTTCCTTCTGTTAGTATTCAAAGTTCTCCATAAGATCTTCTCTTCCCACAAAATGTTTTGTTTAAGCACTTATTCCTCATTTGTTGTTGTTACTCAGAGTCTGTATACATCACACACATACACACTGTACATATTTTTTTCCCCCTAGAATGCATCACCACAGTGCCTCCTTTTCCTGAATTGGCAATCTTTAGATATATTGGAGATACAAGTCTCAGTATTCTCAGCCAGCATAATTCCCGTTGTGGGTTATTTGGAGAGTACCAGGATGGAGAAAGCTTGGTTTGAGATGGTAGTTAGGTAGGAGTTTGGAATAGCCTGCTTAGATCATCTGTCAGATTGCTTGAATATGGGTACAGATGTGCTCTGTGCCTATGTCCTGTGCGTTGGGCTATTTCTTAGCACAGTTCTATCATTCTTCTGAAGAATTAATCCAGCAGATTGCAGGAAGATATCTCAGGAAAAAGGCATAAAAAGTGAAGCAGAAGAGAGCAAAACAAACAAGTTATTATTTAATAATTTAATTACTGCTACAAGGGAATGACAGAGCCGACTGCAATTCCATTTCTGTCCTTTCAGCCAGCAACACCTGGAAGTAGGTTGGGTATGGTGAGAAGATGGAATCAAGTTGGCTGCCTTCCCATCAGAGTAATAAAACAGGAAAAATATAGCCATATGTACTGTTGGCAGACGCAGAAGAAAACTTATAACGCACCCAGTGGTGACAGCTGGCAGATCCCAGCTTTCTTAAAATGCAGCAAAAGACTAATGCTCTCTCTAAAGATGGAGTTTCAAAATGAGATTAAAAATGAGACTCGCCCCACCGTACTCTATCTGCTTATAAGAGCCCCTATTAGGCCTGCCAAACACTTCAGAAAGCAGCAGTTAGGTATTATGAGGGCAGATAGCTCAGCAGAAGCTAAGTATCCAGAGTCACCTGAAACTGAAGCCAGAAATGCCATGAAGAATAGTGTCCAGCAACTGGATGGAAGGGGGCAGGCCCAAAGCAGGCAACTCACCAACAACTACAGGATAGATCCCACTCTGACTGCATCTACAGCCAAACTGTAACATAATGAATTCTATCCATGACAAAAAAAAAAAAAAAATGGAACAGCTACAAGTGATTGTAAGTTATTTCTGCTATGGATGGCAATAAAATAAAAGCAGGATCACGAGGACATGTCATAAAGAATGGATACTTGGGCTTCTACATAAAGGAGTAGGAGGAGGTGAGGATGAGCCTTAAGATAATTTTGAACTTCTGCAGATTTGAGGTTTCCAAAACCTTCCTATGAATGCCTTCATTTTTTATACAGCTGATGTTCTAGCTACATAGAAGTAGCATTTAAGGAACTGAGTTGTCTATAAATCTCTTTTAGCTTTCCCAAACCTATGCTAGAATTTTAAGATGGCCACACAAGCTTGGAATTCTGGGATTGTGATCTCAGTGGATTGGGGAAGCAGGTGATTGTAAAAACTTGACTTCTTTGACTAAATTCTGTGCAATTTGCAACAAGAAACGGTGGCTGAGTGCTTTGGGGCATGATTCTATAGACACCATTCTGTTTGTCCTCTGGTTTGATTTTTCTCCCCCAACTGTTAATTTCCTGTCCTCATACATAATGCCCCAAAGCTTGCTAATATCTCCTTCTTAAATGTGGATAGATAATTTAAAGACCAGTCTTCTGACTAGCAGACTATATGATTATAGGGCAAGATGAAAAAAAAATATTTTAATTTGCATAATTTATACAAATTAAATAAAGATTCTGTCTTTGATGAACAGTACTGCTGAAGTATTAAAAAATATTCATTACATTGAGTCCTCATAAACAAATCTGTGTTCAAAATTTATAGTATGCTGCTTGCTAGGAATTGTCATAGAGGTCACATGGTATTGTTTGCCTCTCCTGATTGGACATCTACTCTAGTAGTA